TCTTGGTTTGCATTGCATGGTTGTTCTGTTTTTGACTATGTGTAATGTGAATTGATGCATCTATTAAGCAGCAATTGATTTTGTCAATCACGATCTGGTATCTCTACGTTTGTTCTGTTTTCGCAGTAGATTGTAATGCGCCGATTAAAGAGATTTTGCTCTCAAGTTATTCTACTGTGGCCCTTTTAGAGAAAATTCTAAATTAAACCCGAAAAAAGCCGAAACATTTTGATGTGGTCACAGAGAATTGATGCTTGAAAGTTTCACAACTTTTTTGAGCTGTTTATTGGCCCTACGTGAACCAACTGTCAGTTAAATCTCATATCATTAGTTACTCTTATTGGATTGAAGTCATGTTATTGTTGTCTTGGTCGAGAGGGTCTCAATAGTTATTACTACTGTTTGTGAAGGGACATGTTCATTAATACTGTTCTTAATTGTATTATTAACTAGTCTTTTAACATTCTACTTAGTTTGTTGTAGTTTCTTTCTAACTTTTGCCGCGTGGCTTGTTTCTTGCCAAAAGTTCTCTCAAGTAAATGCTTATACTTGGGTCTACTGTGGTTAATATGGAAGTTGTATTGTTTGTTTATCTTCTTCCTCGTTGACTTTTAGTTGAATGAAAGATTTGAGCATAACTTACTGAGAGATGGTTTTACTGAGAACAAGCAAGTTTGTGTTAAACATAAAAAAGAGAGTTAAGAGATAAGAAACTAAGAAGATCACGAATTAGTGAATCACTTGGAGCTCTAAAGTTGATAGAATTTTATGTATATCCATAGAATTCTATCATATTTTGATAGAGTTTTATCTATAGTTAGATAGAATTCGATGTGTAACTAAATAAAACTCTTATGTATAATTAGAGAGAATTTTATCATATGTTACTAAAGTTTTATGCAATGTTTCCATCTTCTTACCATTAGGAAGAATGAGAAGAATCTAGTCAGGTTTTGGTCAGTGGACAAGGAATGTGTAGCTCCAGTGACAGGTTACAGAAGTTGGGAACATAGGAAACTACAAGTTGGTTCTGCATTCTTATGTATTGAGTTCAGTAATTACTAAGCCAGTCATGTTTTACATAGTTTTTTCATGAGAATTTCGAAACAGTGTTTGAGGTAAAAAGACATGGAGCATTGATGTAGTGTGACTTCTTGCTCTGCTACTGATTTTTCATGCGTGTGACTGACTTCTTGTTCTTTCCGATAGAACAAACACACTAATGCACAAGACTTGGAGCATTGATGTAGAAATTTAAGAAACTATGATGCTAGTTCAATTATTTCTGTCCAAAAACTAATGATGAAGTAAAGCAAATGGTTATCAGTTGACTTTAAAAGCTTTGGACCCTCTTCTTGACTCATTGGTTCTTATTTCTCTCATTTTTGCCAAGGAAGATTCCGCTACGTGGATCGATACGATTTTGACAAGTAGCATCATCATCTTATTGAGAACTGTTTGGACCATTAAGATCAGAAGCTGGCAATATGAAATCAGCAAGACATTTATAAAGGTGTCCCCATTGTCCTTTACATATTTTGCAGCCAATATAATTTTTGTTTTTATTGGTACAATTCTTTGGGCCTATGATTTTGTCTTATGGTTTCTCTTTGAGTTGATGAAGATACTTTCTTCTCTCCCTGCAAACTTGGAGCCCCACCACAATAAATCCATCTTTTGCTTCCATGGAAACACAGTAGGATACTCTTTCATTGTTTGGTCTAGTAAAATCTCTTTAATGTCACCGTCACCGCCATTAATCGTCTACCTTTCTAGGCAGGATAACTTACCTTTGTCGACAACATTTCATCACTTGTAAACCTATCCAAACAATGCATGATAGTTAAAATATTGCATGATAGTAAAAAATTGCATGATGAAACAGTTAAAAAAAAAACAGCGTATAGATTGATTTTATCTAAGTTATTCGGTTTCGAGCTATATTGATGATAAATGTAGCTACAGAAATCAATTTTTCTAGCTTTCGTGATATGGTACTAGTTAAATGGTAAAACCAAATACTGGTTTTTACCTCATCAAGTAGCTATTTGGTGGTTAAGTTTCTGGATGCTTTTCATCATTCATTATCTATTTTTGTTTATCTTTGTGAAAAAATTAGATCTTCTCATGAGTTTGACACCAAGAACACTGTATGAGCTAGTGGGACTTACATTAAATGGTGAAAGAATCACACAAGGAAAGGTTTTTCATCTCCTTTCTTCTTCCTACCCACCACAAAAGTGTTTCCTCTGTTCATTTATAAGGTTAGAAAAATCTCTTCCAAATTTACAGTGAAAATATTCAAATTTATTCGTGTTTACCACGGTCTTAGTTTTCTGATCTATATCTTTAGTGATAGTGATCACTTAGTGTAATTGTGTTGGCATAAAATTATATAACATTGTTGCTTCCACAGGGAGAATTCTACCATTTCCGGAGCAATGATTAATTGACTAAAGAAGAAGTCTAAGCTAATGCCATCATAGAGAAGCAATTAATCACTTGCAACTACTTTGCATTCCCCTTTTTAATTTTCTTAAATTAGGGTTTATGAAATCATAAAAAACTCTTTTGCTCTAAGTTACTCCAAACATCATCAATACTCAAATGTCTGATTTACTTTTCCCATTATAGTGCCAGCTTCCTCTTCTACACCGCCATTTAACAGCATTTACTATTGTGGAGTTTCTAGTAAAAGCTAACAGAATTGTGAAACAATAATTCAATGAACACGTTTTTGGTAAAGTAGTGTAACTTATTAGGGTAACTAGTTATAGCTAAGAGATAGATAACAATAAGAACTTTGTAGCTTCCAAGAAACCAGACCTTATTAGGATACTTGTAATAACTACTAAGAAACCTTGAGCATCTTTTTGACCCTATTGTAACATAAAGTATTGAAGTTAAGTTTTATATCTAGTTTGAATGGGTTTTGATCCAAAGAACCGATGCGGGCATTTCGGGTGTGAACATGTAGGGATCAGAGACTGTATATAGGGAACCTTGACGCGAGAAAACTGCGGAAAATAACAAGAATGGTTGAAATGTCAAAGCTTTTGAATGGACCACAGAGTTTGTGTTAAGTGTGATGAAGAAAACATTCTTTTCTCTATGATATTATCCTAAGTTTACAGGTTTATCAAAGTGAGTGCTATGGATAGATGTTGACCTGAGAATTTACTCGTGGTTTCTGAAATTTAACTGTTTAACCTCAGTGTTGACATGGTACAATTGCAAGTTAAAAGATGAGTAGATGACTACTTTTTGGGTGCTCTGTTGAGTCTTTAAAAGGAAATCAAGGTGTTGGAACCACAAAGGTAATAATATCTCTATACCCCATCTTATTGAATGCAGATCGATGTCAGAGACCGGGAAAAGGGACGCTTACAGAACCTAAACAGAGACATCTCTTCTTGTGTCTCTCCCTCAGTCCCCTCTATATATCAGACTGAAGCCAAGAGAGCACACTTTGTGATTATAATGATCATGATCAAGTAATGACTACTACTATCTCATACATTACATCAAACTGTGGATCAGACTGAAGAATCAGAAGACAAAAAGAAGCTTTAGTCTAATTGTGTGGCAAACAATGGTTAGATCGCCGTGTTGCGATAAGGCCGGGTTAAAGAAAGGGCCTTGGACACCAGAAGAGGATCAAAAACTTCTTGCTTACATTGAAGAACATGGCCATGGAAGCTGGCGTTCGTTACCTGAAAAAGCCGGTAACTTCCACATTTTCCGCTCTTTCCTCTTCCGAAAACCGCACAT